AACGCCTGATAGACATAATAATATCTTTTTATGACCCTAAAGGGGAACCAACTATCTTAAACTCTCGACACCTACCACTCTAACCACGAATAGCTTTCACCACAAACACTTATGACAAATCAACATTATGAAAACAAATCCACAACATCGTTTAAATAACATAGCCTTATTAAAGGATCATAAACTCCTAACACCTATTCCCCATAATGTATGCTAGAAATAACTCAATACCACCTCATCTATTGTAATTTTTGCTCTCTAACCTCATCTCCCAAAAATAACAAGCTCTCAAAGTAACTATAGGTTTAAGAACTGTAACAGGAACACCAAACACACCAAAATATAGTATGAACCCAAGCTACGAAGGACAAACTTAAGAATAGCAAGCCTACCCCCCCCCCCCCTAATAGGAATCATCTTCACCTACCAAGCCAAAAGCTTAGGCATGAAGTAATCGAACAGACCTTGCCAGGCATTTATCCAAGAGATTGATTCACCAACAAGAAGACCTAAATAAATGAATGGTGAATGAATAGACACACATCTAACCAACACTGTTACTTCCTCCACCTTTATAAAAGCAACTCCAACACCAATTAGTTTACTTTTCAGTAAATTAATCTTGAGCCTATAAAGGCTAGGAAAAAACAATGCAAAGTATGCATATCATTCTCCAGAGACCATCAGAAAGCAAAACTACATCATTTTCATAAAAATGAGAAACCTCCAAAGCTTCCTAGCCACCTGAACTCCACGAAACACATTAGACATGTTTCATTGATGCAACATCACATGTAAGCCTTACATAGCTAAAATGAATAAAAAGGGTGACAATGGATCACCCTATCAGAGACTACACTGAATAGAGAACTCATACGTGGGAGACGTATTTACTAGAAAAATCATCTACTCCTATAGGTAAAGTGAGAATGTGTGCCTCACATAACTTTTTATTAAGTTCTTTAAATGATTTTTCATGGACGTCAATCCAAACATACTTCAAGTTCTTTTTGGTAATATTCATCAAGGGGCTTGTAATCTTGAGAAATTCTCAATGAATGGTAACCTTCGAATCCAAGAAAACTTATCATCTCTGTGTGGATTCTTTGGTGATTCTCACTTCATAACAACTTCAATCTTTAATAGATCCACCTTTATTCCATATGTATTTACTACATGACCAAGAAATTATACCTTTTCAATTCAAAACTCGCATTTTGAGAATTTTTCATACAATCTCTCTTTCTTAAACATTCCAGGTACTAGTCTCAAGTGTTATTTATATTATTCCGTCGACTTCGAGTAAATAAGAATATTATCAATGCGAAGTATCAGAAAGTTATCAAGATGTGGCTTACAAACCTTATTTATATGGTCCATAAAATTCGTGGGCGTGCTGGTTTAGCTGAAAGGTATCACAAAAAACTCGAAATGTCTATATCTAGGTCGGAAGTTCATCTTATCGATGTCTGCATCTCCTACAATCAACCGGTGATAACCAGATTGAAGATCAATTTTTGAGAGATAAACTGCTCCTTGCAATTTATCAAATATATCTTTAATCATGGGTAAAGGATACACATTCTTAATGGTCACTTAATTGAGGTCACAATAATCAATACACATTTTCATCGATCTATCTTTCTTCTCCACAAACAAGATTAGAGCTCTCCAAGATGATGTGACATCCCCATTATCACGGCCAAAAAAGACCGATTTTGTTTATGCTTTATAAAAATCAAAGTATCTATTTTAATAAAAACGTTGCGGAATTTGTTCCTAGTAAAACATGATAAATACGTTATCAAAGCACTTCTGAAGAAAATTATTTTTATTCATTTTAAAACATTTGGGATGTCATCGTCAATACATAAACATAAGCATAAACAGAACTTACATTCGTTATCACTAGTGATTTATATCTCCTTAATCTCTCAGTGTAATGTGACTTCATATCAACACCTGTGATATGAATATACTGAGTGGGTCAGGTTGGGAAACCTGGTGAGTACATAGGGTTTTCAACCCACAATAATATATATATATATATATATATATATATATATATATATATATATATATATAATGTTTAAACAATCAAACAATCAACCTAATTACCCATCCCCATTATCTTCTTTACTCTTAAGAGTCTACCCTGAGAGAGTCATCTATCCTATATTCGTTCATTATGAAGTCCTTTGCTTCCAGGGTTATAGGACTGGCACTAAGTCCATAGTTGTCAATGCTCGTTCGTAAAGTACTAATTTCATAGATGCTAAAGTTCATTCACCGGGTACTAAATCCATAGCTACCAGTGTTTAGGTACTAAGTCCATAGCTACCAACGTTTATCTATCAGGTACTAAGTCCATAGCTACCAGCGTTTATTCAATAGGCACTAAGTCCATAGTTGCTAATGATCACTCATATCATCTTTTATCTCTCATCATTCATCTACCCATGTTATACCCAACATATTTGTAGATAAAAAATACGTATACAGTTTAAATCATTTAAAACTTGTATAAAATCGTTCATCCAGCATAGATAGCAAGTATACAAATAATATGCACACATAGCACGTAGTTTATATAAAATACTTCATATCTATATGTAAGATGAAAGGGACCATGCACTCACCTAAGAAGGTGTTGATTCAACACTCGAACAACACTTCGTTACTCTCAACATAATTTTCCTCGGATAAAACCTAGTATCATTACCACTAGAGTTTAGTTTAATATTCACCGAGACTAATTAATAGTCTAGCTATTATTACTATCGTATAATCATTAAACAATACTTATATATCCCATAATAATAGCCCAAGTACTCATTATAAGTTTCTAATACCATTACTATATTGAAACATAAGATATACTAACGATAGGGTAGGCGTAGTTCACTTACAACGGGTTTTTCGCAAAACCGGGCTTCGCTGGAGCAGCGTTCCCGAGACGAAAGGATCTTTTCTTGGGCTTTGGGAGCCTTGGGGCTTCCTTCGGGTGCTAGGAGGTTTACCTAGACTTTAGGGGGGGGGGCTTTAGAGAGAGAAACTAGAGAGAGAAGGTGAAGTTGGGAAGATGTGAAGAATGAGGGAACCCAACACCTCTATTTATAGGCTGGAAATCCCAAAAAACTCGTCGAGTTGGCCTCTAACTCATCAAGTTCCATGCCAGGTGTCAGCATTCTGGTGGCGAAACGTGTGCGGCCTACATTGTGCCACGTCACCCCTTTTGCAGCAGCACCCTACTGACTTCTAAACCCCGTAACTTTCGCATACGAGCTCCGTTTTCAACGTTCTTTTTTTTTCCACGCGTAGGTAAAAACAATATCTACAAATTTCAATAAGACTCTGTTGGCTAATTCTCGACCGATCTTAAATTTAACAGTAGGAGGATATTAGACTACTAAATGACCACGAAGAATTCGTAACTCCTTCATACGGACTCCGTTTTCGTCTGTCTTTTTACCGTTGAGTTTCTATTAATGAGATCTTCAACTCTCATTTAGGTCACGTAAGCCTAAAACCGCTCGAACTAAAATTCGAGTTTCGGACTGTACACAGCTAAGTCGAAACTTTGAAAAATCATAATTTCCTCATACAAAGTCAGATTTTGGCATTCTTTTTATGGATTTTCTCGGTTTAACATACTGATTACTAAGGCTAAAAAGTATTTTATCATAATTTCACTTCTTACGCTTCCTGGTGCCATGTCGGTTCCGTCGCAAAAATTCGACGGGTCATAACTTCTTCGTTATAACTCGGATTTCGGCGTTCTTTATATGTTCGGAACCGTTACGACATATTCTACAACTTGGTTAAGATTATTTATTCTAAATAATCTTTTGACGAAAAGTCATTTTCAACCCCTATTATCTCTAAATTGACTAGCCCGGATCTACGGACGTTATAGGTGAGGTGCACGGTCACACAAAGCCACTGTCTAACAACTCTTGTAATTGTGTCAACAATTCCTTCAATTTTGTAGGTTCTAAGCAATACGATGCTTTTGCAATTGGTGCGGTTCCCGATACCAATTTATGTGAAATTCCACTTGATAATCAGGTGGAAGTCCGAGAATATCATTGGGGAAATTCAGGAAAATCCTTCACATCATCAAAGTCTTCTGTGGGTTTATTCTCTTTGACTGTATCCACAATGTATACCAATAGATTTCGCATTAGTTATTCAAACACTTTCACGCCTTCATTACGTTTATGACACTTGTAGCAACTCTTAGTTTGTCTCCTTAAATAGGAAAAAATAAAACAGATCAAAGTAATACTCTGAATCTAACCAATGTAGATAAGACGTGAAACATGCCTCAACAATGGAAGTTTAGCGGTTGATGAGTGGAATTTTATATATCCTAAGGTTCAAACCTTGACACAACCAAAATATTGTTAGTGTTCCGCGATTGACCTCTAATGTAGATATTAAGACCAATTGACATGGAACATTCAAATAATATGATTTACCACTTTCTTTTAAAATGTGAAGCAAACATCTTAATTTTTGTATAATCTATGTGGTTGGTACATATAATTACTTATTTTATAAAATAACAAAAAGATAAAATAGAGACATTTCTAACCGAGTTACACAACAAAACCAAATTTGATTTGGAAACAATTTGACCAAATGTTATTCTTAAATTAAATCGCTATTTAAAAAAAAAAAAAAACCATAAGTCCCCATCATAAAATTTTGTATTTCTTTAAATAGTTAAATTACTTTTTAGGTGTTGTAAGACAAAATTTTCAAATACTAACCTCTATTTTTAATGATAATGTATCCACATTTCCTTTGTACGTTTCCTTTCGCGACACGCACGCGGCTACACCCACCGACGCTCTCAGATCTCAAACCAAATTCACTTTAATATATAAATTTCTTAAACCGTCGTAATCCCAATTTCAACTCAGATTATCAAACAAAGGAAGAATCACAACTACAACTGTCACAGATCTGAGCATTTCGATTCAGATCTCCGATCAATGGCTTCCGGTTCTTCCTCCTCTTTCCTCCTCCTCCTCATCCTCGTCGCCTTCATCTCCATCGCCACCGCCGAAATTCGCTTCACCGAGATCCGATCCGACCCCCGACCAATCATCCCCTTCGATGAATTCGGTTTCACTCACAATGGCAGACTCGAACTCAACGTTTCCAAACTATCGTTCTCGACAGCAGACCCTGACCTCTCTAAATTAGGTTTTTTTCTCTGCACGCGTGATTCATGGCTTCAGGTTCTCCAACAGATCGAAGACGCGGAGATAGCGTGTGCGCTTCAATCCAATATCATCAAAGAAGTTTACAATTTGAATTCGATAGCGAAAGATGCGAAAGGTTTTGATCATTATTATCTCCAATCGGATGCCGATCAGTATACTCTTGTGTTTGCTAACTGTCTTCCTCAGCTTAAGGTCTCAATGGACGTCCGATCTGCTATGTACAATCTCGATGGCAAGTCCAACACTCGCGATTACCTTTCTGCTGGAATTACCGTTCTCCCAAGGGTTTATTTCTTGTTCTCCCTCATTTACATTACTATGGCAGCAGCTTGGGTTTACTTTCTGTACAAAAAACGTCTTACTGTATTCGGAATCCATTTCTTTATGCTTGCTGTTGTGGTCCTGAAAGCATTAAACTTGGTATGTGAAGCCGAAGATAAATCCTATATCAAGCGTACCGGTAGCGCCCATGGATGGGACGTTCTGTTCTACATTTTCAGCTTCCTGAAAGGAATCACATTGTTCACATTGATCGTGTTAATCGGAACTGGATGGTCGTTCCTGAAACCCTATCTCCAAGACAAAGAAAAGAAGGTGCTAATGATTGTGATCCCACTTCAAGTCGTCGCCAACATTGCTCAAGTCGTGATCGATGAATCAGGGCCATATGGACAAGATTGGGTGACATGGAAGCAGGTGTTTCTACTAGTCGATGTTGTCTGTTGTTGTGCTGTTCTATTCCCCATTGTTTGGTCAATCAAGAACTTAAGAGAAGCAGCTAGAACAGATGGAAAAGCAGCTGTTAATCTGATGAAATTAACCCTCTTCAGACAATATTATGTTGTGGTTATCTGCTACATTTACTTCACAAGAGTTGTGGTGTATGCATTGGAGACTATCACTTCGTATAAGTATTTGTGGACTAGTGTAGTAGCTGCTGAGTTAGCCACTCTTGCTTTTTATGTTTTCACTGGGTACAATTTCAAACCAGAGGCTCATAATCCTTACTTTGCTGTTGATGATGATGATGAAGAAGCTGCATCAGAGCAATTGAAACTTGAAGATGAATTTGAACTTTGATCTGCCTTTCTTCTTCTTCTTCTTCTTACAGGTTTGTTTAGGAATGTCGCATACAAATGTTGAAATCTGTTTCTATACTATTACAATTTACAAATATTCTTGGTGTAGTATGATGTATCTGTTACAATGATACAGTTTTGTAAGTAGTCTTTATTTGTCATGTTCTTTGTTCTATTCATAATACATCACTCGTTATTGTTTTGTGTTTGTATATGTGCTGAGGTGAATCTTGATTTTGAGAAATAGAGATATGGTCAAAGGGTAATATTGTCTTATTTTTTATTGTTATGAAGACATGAATTAAAAGAAAGAAAAATGTATAGGCATGTTTGTTTTCATCTTCAATGACAACGAAAAGTAATCTCATTGGTTAATCAATTTCCATGACACAATTGTATTATGTTTCTTGTTTTTGTATTAAAAATAGTTTTTATTCAACAAAAAATTGGCAATTTAGTGGTAATAGTATAAAAGAGACGTACAAATAAAAATGAGTAAAAAGTATACATGAAGAAGAGTTGGTTACCCTAAGTCATCAACCATAAAAAAAAGTTGAAAAATAAAAATGAAAATAAAACTTAATCATAAACTATTTTGCAATTGGGATATCAATGACAAAATTATTAAATGCGAGTATAATGCTATTCTAAATATGATTAATTATGTGAAACAATTTGAAAGTTTGTTGTTATTATGTCTATAGAATCGAATGTGCATAACTTATATGTGTATATAAAAGATCCGGTTTATAACTAAATTATGTAAATCATTCGACAAAGATTTCGGACACATATAGTCCAGTCGCAAAAGTGAATTTTTATAACATGATTTACCCGAATTTAAGAAGCGTGTTTTTAGTATTAGTCACTTATCCCTAAAAACTATAAAATTTAGGAATATACAAATTTGCTTAATAAAATAAGAACAATGTGATAATTTGGATCATTTGGCAAGGAAAATAAACGGTCTAAAGCCTAAGAGCGTTACCAACCAACACGAGTAACTTGCATGAATAGTCATTGTGTTTGGGTAACGTGTGTCTTTTGTTTATATCTATTTTTAGGGTTTAAGTCATTTTTGGTTATTTGGATTTTGGTTTTGTATTCATTTGGTTACTTAATTATTTTTAAGTTTTAAAAATAATCAAATTTTTGGTTTTGTGTTCATTTAGTCACTTAATTTTTTGATTTGTGCTCATTTAATCATTTAAATTTAAAATTGTGCTTATTTAGTCACTAAACTTTTAAATTTTTTAAAAAGTTTAATGACTAAATGAACACAATTTTAAAAGTTAGGTAACTAAATGAGCACAAATTCAAAAGTTAAGTGACAACCAAAAGTTAAATAATTAAATGAGCACAAAACCAAAAGTTTGATTACCTTTTAAAATTTAAAAATAATTAATTAACCAATTGTAACATCCCGGAATCGCAAGAGTAGAGTTGAAGGGCTAAAAGTGTAAGTTTTAGAGGATGACTCGGCGAGGCCATGGATGGACTCGACGAGTCAGGTCGCGGTCATGGTCGCGTGTCAAGTGGCCTACTCGGCGAGTCCCAAGGATGGACTCGGCGAGTAGGTGTTGTTGAGCCCTATATAAAGAGCATTATACCCCTCCACAGCCTCCCTTATCCCCCCCTTGAGTTCCAGAAACCCTAAATTCGTGGAGAGATCATTTGTGGAGCAAATTAGAGCTTGGAGAGGTGTTGTTTGAAGAGATCTTGAAGGAGAAGTGGCTTGGATCAAAGGGCTTTGCTTGGATTCGAGTTTGGCTGCTATTGAGGCATCTTTTGGAGGTAATATCTTCGTCCTTAGGCTGTGCATTCCTAGTTTCATCATTTTGGGGTTTGTGGGGAGTATGTCTTGGAATGTTTTGGAGTTTGGAGGATAGATCTGAGGTTGCTACCTCAGATCTGGAATATTGAAGGCCTAGAGTGCATTAAAGTTCCTGTGTTTGAGTGCTTAGTGAAGCCACCATGTCCCAAACCTTGGTTTTAAGGTGAATATGGCTTAGATCTCGTTAGATTCACGTAAAGTTTGCCACTTTACGTGATGGATGGATTGTAGGAGGTTGGATCTATGTTTTGGATCAATTGCATGGCCTGAGATGCTTCTGTATGGATTCAGACCGGTGGTACTCGACGAGTCACATGGGTGGACTCGACGAGTTGCTTGAAGATGGCCTGGGACTCGACGAGTTGGAAGAACAACTCGGCGAGTAGGTTGAAGATGGCCTTGGACTCGACGAGTCCATTTGGACTCGGCGAGTCTTGTCGAGGAAGTCCCAATATTTCTGGTTGAGTCGATGAATCGGTGAGTCAAGGGATGACTCGGTGAGTTGGGTGCGAGTGGACTCAGAGTTGTTGGACTCGACGAGTCTTGGGGTGACTCGGCGAGTTGGGTCGCTAATTGAGGGAAGTTCTGAGCATAAGGACTCGGCGAGTCATCGGGATGACTCGGCGAGTAGGGTCAGTCAGGGGTTGACTTTGACTCGTCCAAGGTTGACCAGTTGTCTTCCAGGGGTATTTTGGTAATTAAGGGTATTTATTGAGTTGTATGTTTTGATGTTTAGTGGAGGAGTTCGTGTCAGAGTTCGGAGCAGCGGGATCTTATCTTTTCAGCCGACAGTTTCGAGGTGAGTTATCCTCACTATATCAACAGGGTCTAAGGCACCAAGGCCGGCCCTTTATTGTATTGAGATTCGGTTATGGTTATTATGTTATTGTTTGATGTGTCTGCATCCTGGTAGCTAGGATGGTACATGCTAGGAGGCCTTGCTAAGGTCAGTTTTCCCGATATACAGAGTGATGCTATGCTAGTGACCGGTTAGGTCGGTAACCCGGTTAGGGTAATGATATGCTATGTGATCTGCTTGCTCGGTTTGTTGACTATGACTGTTATATGAATGTATGTTTTGTGCACATGGTTGTTTGGACTGGAGATGGGTTGAGGCGGGTCCTGCTTTGTGCTGTAGGCCAAGATACCCAGGGCGGACCGGTTGTTCCGAAGGCCCAGCGAGCGGTCCGGATAGGCTGTAGGCCCCACGAGGGCGGACCAGACGTGCCGAGGCTCGGAGAGTGGACCAGGCCGACTGAAGGCCCGATGCGGGCGGACCAGTCACACTGTAGACTCAGAGAGTGGACCAGGTGGGTTGAAGGCCCGATGCGGGCGGACCAACCCCACTGTAGACTCGAAGGACATGACTAGACCTGGAGGATGGATCCGTTGGACTGAAGGCCCGATACGGCGGACCAGTCACACGGTAGACCCGATATGCATGGCTGTTCTATGTTCTGTTATGTTATGTATGTTTTATATGTTTTGGACCGGAAGGTCGTAGCCTGGAAGGGCGTATACGTGGTTGGTATTTTGGGGGTATCTCACTAAGCTTTCGGGCTTACAGTTGTGGTTTAATGTTTTTCAGGTTCTTCAGGAGACTGTGGCAAGGCGAAGGCGCGATCGTACCGCTCCTCATGATTTTGTAGCAATGTGATTCTGGGAATACTTAATGACTTGTATTGAAAACCTTTTTGTAAACATTTTAATGAAAATCGGGTTGTTTTGAAAATTTTAAATTGGTTGTGTTTTTCGGATGTTACAAGTTGGTATCAGAGCCTTGGTTTGAGTGAATTGGAGGAACACTTGTGTGACTCCAGTCTCAAATCGAGGAGAGTTTTCAAAAAGAGAATTTAAAATGGTTTTCAAAATAAGTAAAGGAGGACGCGGAGGTACGATCAGCCGGAGCCAGTAAGTAACCCCAAAATACCATACATGACAATTGTTTTATTGAGCTTTGATAGAACAGCATGCTAGAGTTAGGCTAGGGATCTTCAGGATTTATTGATGAGTTGCCTGATTTATGATGCCTGCTAGCCTAGGGTTCCTTGTGAGAGATTTCTAGTGTTCCTCTAGTTGTGAGGATAGAGCGTGTTATGTGTGTCGCTAGGGTGTTGTGGGAGTACTTCATACAAATATGGGTTGGTGTGGAAGGTAGTATGGGCCCGTACTACTGAAAGCACGGACTCATACGCGTATCAGGGAAACCATGACCTCTAGGGTTGGGATGAGAGCTGGTTCCCGGGATAGTGGAATATGTCTGAGATTTGGTGTTTTATTTTCAGTATGGAGATTTCAGGGCACGCTGGGAGTGGATCCGGGTCAGGATCAGGAGCAGGAGAGGGAGTTCCGGGTGGGTCTGTACAGCCAGAGGTTGTCAGTCAGATGAGTACGCACGAGTTGGATGCGAGGATTCGTGAGATCCTGCATGATGAGGTTGCTGCATTGTTTCGGGCTGAGCTGCCAGAGTTGTTTGGGTCGATCAAGACCGCCATGGTGGAGTATTTTGATGAGCGCTATGCGGCTCTCACGGAGACGGCTGCCGCGGCGGCTACCGCAGCAGTAGCAGCGGCAGGGGGAGGAGCCAGTAGAGGTTTTCAGTATCGGGACTTCGATAATACGAAGCCTCCCACTTTTGATGGAGTTCAGGATCCGATCGTTGCTATGAGATGGTTATCAGATGTGGAGGGATGTTTCTTCACGTGTTCATGCCCTGCTGATCAGAGGGTGAGGTGTGCTTTGAACCTGTTGAGGCTCGGAGCAAAGGATTGGTGGAGATTGACCACGGGGTCGTACTCGGATGCGCAGAGGGCTGCGATTTCATGGGATCGGTTCAGAGAGATGTTCAGCACTCGTTATGTTCCGCAGGTCGAGAGGGAGAGGTTGGCTCAGGAGTTCTTGGAGCTGAAACAGGATTCGGAATCGGTGACGGAAATCACCAGGATGTTTACTGAGCGGGCGATGTTTTGCCCTGAGTTCGCTTCGGAGCAGGCTCAGATGTCCCGGTATCTGAGTATGCTAAAGAGGGACATCAGACAGTTTGTGTCTGCGCAGAGGTGCGAGACTTTGCTGGAGTTGCAGGAGGCCGCCAGGCGGCGTGAGTTAGAGATTGAGTTACAGATGCGTGAGCTGAGGCAAGCTCCGGTTCAGTCGCAGCCGGCGACGAA